GGTATTATACATGAGATGGTATTATACATGAGATGGTATGATACATGAGAAGGTATTATAGATGAATAAATACAGTACTTGTATTAGACAGGTGGTTTTAGGTTTGGTCTAAATAAACCATGGCAGCCAGCAGGTTAATCCAGTTTGTCAGCATGTTGTTGAGTTGTACACATGTCCATGGCTGCAGCTGCAGTGAGTTGTCATCAGTCTCAGGACTGTGATGTCTGCTCTGCTGTTTAATGTCTTCTTCTTGTCTTTCAGATATCGTATTGAACATGAAGCTCTGTCCAAAGTGGAGTGTGAGCAGAATGAGTTCATCGACCAGTTTATTCTGCAGAAGTGAGGAGATGACTACAACTAATGTCCCACAGTGCCTGTAGTGAGGGGCTTTTTAAAGTCCCCCTGCTGTAATGTTTCTGCAGCTGAAAGCTCCATGCACATGCTCTCTRCAGCACTTTGTGTGTGTCTGTGTGTAAAGACTATTGACCTGTTCATACACAGTCACACACATCACATGTCTGCATATGTAAGACCAACAGGAAACAATGGATATATTTATATGAAGACTAATTATTTATACTATTTATACTGAAAATACTCTGTACATCTAGTTTTCTTACCTTTCCTACCACCACAGCTGAACAAAGTCTGCATGTGTAAGTTACACACAACTGTTGTTGTTCTTTCATCTCTCCTCTTCATTAGTCTGCCTAGATCTTCATGCCTTCATCACAAATACATTCATCACAAATACATTAATCACAAATACATTCCTCTTTTCTGAATACTATAAATACAAATAAACAGTTTGGTGCATAAATATTTTGTCTGTCAGGATTCTGATTATTAAATCTAGTGTTCAATATTTGACCTGATTCTCCTGCTTCAGTTTATTTTTCATGCACACAAAAACAACACAAGTGTAGAAAGAGTTGTGACTTTAAAGGTCTTTAATCAGGTGTGTTAACACAACTCTACAGTGACAGTGGTGAACATTTAATCATGTAAAAGTCACAAGCAGCATCCACAGCTGTCTGCTCAGTTCACATGGACTGAGGAGAAACACTAAGTGTCCCAGCTTTTCTCATTGTTCATGTTGTATTTACACATCCTGAGTCTGTGCAGGTACACACCTGTRCACAACCATGTTACATGAGCTTACTTTAAATATTCAACAACAACATCCAGCTGAAAGATAGACAYTACCTGAATTAATGAGTGAACAGAAGAAAAACATGATCTGAGGTGAGATTTGACTCTTTAACAGGTTAATGTCCTGTTAGAGGACCTACACCTGCTGCAGCTAACAGCTGACAGGAAGCATGGCTCAGGTCCTGCTTCAACTTCAACGTTCCAGTGTGTCGTCTACTTATTATTTACAGTTTATGACTGAGGTAGGTGGACAGTTAATGAAACTAAAACAAAACAAGAACATTTGAGGAGCCCTGCATGCTGTCTCTGTCCTGAAGAGGACATGGAGCCTAACTGCACCGCTCAAAGCCTTCCTCTCTGATGGTATAGGGATACATTTGTACCTCTGGAAAGACCCCATCAACACAGAGAGGTAGAAGCTTTTAAAACAACACATGCTCCAACATAAACATCCAGGTGACATCTTTCAGCATATTATATGAAGACAATGATAAATCAGTGTAGCAGTTATATGAGCAGGGTGTTGTAGAAGAGCTGACCCACCTGGTGAGGCAGTCCAGACCTGGATTTATTAAATAATTGCAGACACCACTTCTGGTGAAACAGTTTGTTGTAGGAATACAGTAAGTTGGTACGACCTGTCATGGATTATGAACAAACAAGGCTTTTTTTTTTTCATTTCTGTTTTAAACTAATTTTCTTTTTTGTTATCTGAAACAGAAAATTAAACTCAATCATTTTTAAAATTTGGTTCATCATCTTTATCATCATCTGCCTCCATCATCTGCCAGCCCGGACCTTGAATGGGCCAGACAGGTACTAAATTCCCGGGCCACTTTTTAGCCCCAGTCTACCCCTGACGGCCCATGGTTCTGTCTGGAGCTCACCTCTTCTTGGTATACTGTAAATTAAACCAGGAATATTAATTATGCTACATGTTATAAAACACAAATAAAATCTTTCTTTGTAATAAWTACTTTATCCAGAACCCAATGTGCATCTGCGATGGCCCTCTGGATGATCATTTGTATTCTGTCTGGGTCATCTTCATCCGAGTGGCTGTTGTAACCCTGCAAATAAATCCAAAAACAAAGGAGAAGTG